AAGCTTCCAATCCAAATTTCATCAAAATATATTTAATCAATGAATTTTTTCATGAAGAAATAAATATTTGAGAGGTTTCTTGCAAAAGAAGAAAACTTGGATAACTTGAATTTTTCTAAGTGTGGGAGGAAACCCTAATTTTGGTACCAACTTTGAAAGGCCATAAATTTCAACCCACACATCTATTTTTTGAGTTTCAAAGATCAATTTAAATATCTCCTCATATAATAAAAAAGTGTCATAGTGACTCATGAGCAAAAGATGCTTAGTTTTTGAGTTATGAAGCTTCAAAGTTTGGAAGAATCTTTAAACACTTAAAAAATTTTCAAGACAACTTTGTTACACCAATTTTCAGTTAACTTCAAGGCCAATTTTCACTATGATTCCTTTGGATTCAAGAGTTTCACCAAACATGAAAGTTTTAGAGCATGTTTAGGGCTTTTCAAAAAGTATAAGAACTCATCCATAACATTTTTTAGCTATGAGTTTCGAAGAGAGAAAGTTGAGGTCCAAAACTTGATTTCTAGGTCATGCCCACATGAATTCACTTTACAAAACCACTCAAATCTCCAAGATTTTGTTTGGAAGACCTCATTACTTGTTAATATGGTTTAAATCAGATAAGTACAAATGCTTTTGGTGCATTATCCAAGTGGTTAATGCTTTATTTCAAAGATCTTTCCATTTTTAGCATAAAGGCGTGATTTCCATTTTGATAAAACATGGATTTTCCCTAAAACCATCTTCTCGAGCCTCCAACTTGTCTTCTCTACACTCAAACACTTTCAAGGTCAGAAGAAATATCTCAACCACCCTATAGATATTGTACTTTTCATGGGAACTACCACAAATCACCAAACCTCAAGTTGGAATTCAACCAAACTTTGGAAACTACCAAGTTACAACAAGTTACAAATCTGATCTCAACCTTTGCCCTATAAATAGAGGTGAAATTTATGCTTCAAAAAAAAGGAGAAGAAGAGCTTGGAAAGAGGAGAAAAACATATCTCAAACCACTCTTGCAGCAACATCTTGCAAATCATCTCCACTTGAACCAAAAACCTCAATCTTGCACAAACATAGCCAATTCCATTTCCACACTTCAAACCACCCAAACACCTGTTCCAACACATCATAAAACACATTTTGAAGGTGTCTAAACCTTAATTTCCATCCAAGGCCTGCTAGAACAGAAAGTCAGCCTTCAAAACCAGGTTGTTGACTTTCTGCACTTTCCATTCTAAAACCCTATTCAGACCACCTCCAATCATTCTAACACTTCTAAAACACCCTATATAACATCCCTAAGTTGTTCAAGACATGGTTGTTCAACTATAACTTCATTTGGTTAAAGTTCCATTTTGGCATTTTCTCACTTTTGCAAGAAGGGAAGCATAACCTGTTTCAAGTGATTCCTTTGGGTTCCAAGCATTCAAAAAGCTTCAAGGAGGTTCAAGAAAGCAGTTTAAATCATTGAAACATCTTTGTAGTAGCTTGTTAAGATTTTCAAGTTTTGACTTCAAAAGGTAAGTGCTCAAACTGAAACTCATTGAATCATGCTATATCTTGATGTACATTGAACATAAACTTGTTTGTCATGATATTGTGGATTTGTTCATTCATTTATTTACTGCTTATCATGTATGAATAAGACCCTGCCATAGAAAATGCAAGAATGTGTTCTTTTTTATTATTCTATCGTGTTTTGAGTTATAAGCACTTTTAGACAACTCCAATGGCACCACTGAATTCCTTATGAAAAAATACGTAAGTTTGATCTTTGGATCATCCAATTTCATGGAGTATTGAGAGAGATACATGTTGTCTTGCAAACTGAAATTTGAAGAAGATGAAGGTCTAACCATGGCGCTTTGGGTTGGCTTTAGGTTACTTCTAGGTTTATATCTTTATTTATGGGGGTGATATAATAGATGTATCACCACCCCAGTGGTTTACCACGTGTGCTTTAGTACCTTCTTGCCTTGCCTGACTAAGGTTCGAGTCCCAACAACCATCCTTTTGTTATTTTTCTCATTTTTAAAGCTTGTTTTACATATATTAATCTGTTTACACCTATGATTCACAATGCACATGTGGTTCAGTTGGCTAAGATTTTGAGCCAAGAGCCTTGAGGGCGTGGGTTCAAACCCCATTGAGTGCATCCCCTTATTTTTAATGTCTTGTTTGTATGTTTTCTTTCACAAATTGAATTGATCATAACTTCTTTGATTTTTATCATTTAGATCCCACTTTTTTTCTTTCTAAATGCTCATGAGAATATCTATTTTTTGTCTATGTCAAGAAAAATCCAAAAAGAATTATTTATTTGGCCCTTGTGCATGTTCAAAGTTTGTGACTTTTTAGGGTTTCTTAGGTTTTCTTTTGATCCTTTTAATTGATTCCCTTGATTCCTCTTGCTTGTATGAACCCAACATTGCTTGTATGAACCTTACTTGATGTGTAAATTTAGATACCCTTGTTGTTATATGTTAGTTATTACCTTTTCAAGTTCATGTTCATATGTGAATGCGTGATTGAATATCATAAAACCTTGGTTGTTACCTCCACCTATATCCATGCTTTAAATATTGTCATGATTTATGCATGTTGATCTTGAGTGTTGAACTTTATTATAAGTAAGGTTTTGACTTATACATGATTCTCTATTTGTATCCATGCTTAAATATTGTTATGATTTATGCATGTTGATCCTTGAACGTTGTTATAAGTAATGTTTTGACTTATACATGGTTCTTTTGATTTGTATCCATCTTAAATATTGTTTTGATTTATGCATGTTATTCTTGAACTTTGAACTTTGTTATAAGTAATGTTTTGACTTATACATGATTCTCTATTTGTATCCATGCTTAAATATTGTTATGATTTATGCATGTTGATCTTTGAACTTTACCATGATAAGTAATATTTTGACTTATGCATGATTCACTTGTCATCTATGATGTTCGGTCTTGTAAGAACCTTATTTCAAAGCCATATAGATGTTGTAACATCTATGTTTACCTTTGGTTATAACCATTTGGTTTGATTCTAAACTTTAATGATGAATACTTGGTTGTAACCTTGTTATTTCTTTTGCTTGATGTTGTTACATACTTGCATTTACTTTCTTGGTTGTCACCATAGTTTTATATCTTCATCATGTTTGAATGAATGTATATGTATGCTTAAGCTTTGCTAAATTCCTTCCGAGTGATGTAACTTATTAGCTCCCATCCTACAAAGAGTTGCCTTGTGTTCCTAATTCCAAAGGAAAATCTCTCTATTGACTCAATATCATAGATAACTCATTTTATTCTCAAACCTCCCTTTGACCTCGTTAGAGTCATTAGGACTTTCAACCTAGTCCTAAGTTAGAACCTACATCCTTTTGAGTTTGTCAAGTCAAGACCTTTAACACACCTTGTTAAGAATCCTATAACTTAGAGCTTAGGTCTAGAGTTTGTTAACTTTATGTGTGTACCATGGTTATGGGTACTCACTTTTCCCCTTTTGACTTTTGTTAAAGTCAAACCCCTAATTAGTCTTTCAACTTAGACTTATAGAGTTTGTTAACTCTATATAAGTATCATTGTTATGGATGCTTATTCCCCTTGAGCCTTGACCATAGTCAAGAGTTCTTCCACCCTAGTTAGGAGAGCTACAGTTGCTTTGATTCCATCCTATTTAAGATACATAGGCACGAGATGCGACGTCTTGGCGATCATACTTAGTGTATATACCCATAGGTATTTACCTTAGCGCATAACCATTAGCAGACAAACATTAACAAAAAATACAACTACCAAACAAGAGGCTCATGTAGAATACTACAGATACTTAAGATGCCAATACATTTCCTTAGTATAACCAACCCCCGAACCTCCCGATCTCTTAGCTTCGTTGTTACATAACGCACTTAGGGTTTTCTTTGATCTTTAGCCTTTCCTTTGGATAAATCATAGCTCGATGGTGAATATTTAAATATTTGTGGTTCAAGTTAATTAATAGCTTGATATCTGATTATCACCGCACACACACATACACACAGATATATATATATATATATATATATATATATATATATATATATATATATATATATATATATATATATATATATATATATATATATATATATATATATATATATATATATATATATATATATATATATATATATATATATATATATATATATATATATATATATATATATATATATATATATATATATATATATATATATATATATATATATATATATATATATATATATATATATGAGATATCAAGATATACAGGATATCATACTTGAAGAAGCATGATGGTCATATTAGATCTATGGATATTATGTGTATGTCTGATTAGCTCTAATGCTAGTGAAAAATTATTGGTATAAGCCTTATACGCCGATAGTTTATTAAAAATTAATACTTGTATTGGATTTTATCTAATAATAATAAAAAAATTATTTATTCAAAATAATAAAATTTTTAGTATTAAGTATGATATAATTATAAAATCTAATTAACATAAAAATATTATTCTTAAAATATTTACGGTAAAACTTTAATGTAAAGTGAGATAACATTCCAACATTGAAATTATTAAATAGATAAATTATATAAACAAAAAAAATAATAAATTGTTTTAAAGAAAAGAAAAAGAATGGGCCGACATATGAAAGAGACTGTAGAAAATATGATGGGCTGTGTGGTTCTTATGTCTCTACAATGTTGTCTATTCCATCCCATCATCCCACACACAAACCAAATCTGTCTTCCTTTGTGGCCCAGTTTTATTTTCCCAGAACAATAATAACCTGAAAAGGAAAAAAAAAATCCACTACTATTATTCATCGATTAATTCAGCATCCAATCCAAAAAAACCGAATATTTTGCTTTTTACAATTCCCTCACGTTTATTATTATTCGGTTCCTCATATGAGGAAGAACCAGAAGAATCATCGGTGAGTGAGAAAACACGGGAGAAAGCAAATGGGTAGTAGTAGTGTTGAATCGTTGTTGGAGAAACACGCGGTGGTGAAGTGGGTTATCGGAGTTATGATCGTTGGTGTATCAGTATTGGGTATATATTCTTCTGGTCCATTTGGGTTATGGAAAAAGAATATTTGTAGTAGAAGAAGGAACAAAAGACCGATTCGTGTTTACATGGATGGTTGTTTTGATATGATGCATTATGGTCATTGTAATGCTTTGCGTCAGGCTCGTGCTCTTGGTGATCAATTGATTGTTGGGGTTGTTAGTGATGATGAAATTATTGCTAATAAGGGTCCTCCTGTTACCCCTTTACATGAAAGGTTTCGTTTTTTTAATTCCCATTTTCATGTTTTTTGTTTCATTTCTCTTACCTTTTTCCCTTTTTTCCATTTGTGATTTATTATTTCAATTTCATTAACCATTTCTGAGTAAAAAGCTGTTTTTTTCATTATTTAATTGATTGCACTTACATGGAACATGTGTGTTTCTTTATATATGGTATTTGTTTAAATGAGTTTGTGATGAATTGAATTCATATACACTGTAGCCCTAATTATTTCTACACCTTCAATCAATTCTAATCGTTGGATCATTAAAATTAATAAATTTAAACTCAATTCTGATTTGGCATTTGTGATTTTGACGTGGTAATTTTGATTTGAATATTGATTATGGTGATGTGTGTGTGATAGGTTGATTATGGTGAATGCTGTGAAATGGGTTGATGAGGTTATTCCTGAAGCTCCATATGCGATAACTGAGGAATTTATGAAGAAGCTTTTTGATGAGTATAATATAGATTACATTATTCATGGGGATGATCCTTGTGTTCTTCCAGATGGAACTGATGCTTATGCTCATGCCAAAAAGGCTGGCCGTTATAAACAGATCAAGCGCACTGAAGGAGTTTCTAGCACTGATATTGTTGGTTAGTAGTCTTATCATGCTTACTTTTGAGTGGAGTAACATTTCTTTATTCGGTAGTGGTGCCATTCGGCATGTTGTTTATCTTCGTTGTATGAAGTTTTCATACGTTATTGCATTAGAGGTACTTTGCTGTGTTTAATTTGAGTGGAATGCTCTCATGTTGTTTAAGATCTTTCACGTGTTCGTTTCAAGGGAGTTGTCATCATGCTATTTTAGATAAGTATAAATTATTCTATGGACTATGGCGTTCTTACTTGACAAGCGGTTCTCTTTGTTCTGCAAGCATACATTTGGTTACATTTTCTCCTTGACGATAGGGTCGCTTCAGAATACATTTAACAATGTATAACTAATGTTATACGACAATTTCAAGTGCAGGTCGAATGCTGCTGTGTGTAAGAGAAAGGGCTATTACTGATACTCATAATCATTCTTCTTTACAAAGACAGTTCAGTAATGGGCGTGGTCAGAAGTTTGATGACGGCGTTGTTGCTAGTGGAACCCGTGTATCTCATTTTCTGCCTACATCTCGTAGAATTGTCCAGTTCTCAAATGGGAGGGTATGTTTATTTAAAAATCTTTCTCTATCGGCGTGTCTCCTTGTTTCCATTGTTGCCATGAAGGACCCCGTATTGTTCGAGTTCCTTGTACTTTTCATTGTCTTAAGAAATGTATTCATGTAACAACCTTGTTTGTCGCAAGTAGCAGTGTTGGAAACCTGAGACAAATCAGGATTAACCAAGTTCCAAGTTATCCTTCTATGCTAGGGAATGTTTTTTTGTTTTTGTTTGTGTGTGTGTGTGTTAAAGGATTGCAAAAATGGGTTAACAATGGGAGCAACTGATGTCCAATAGCCTTGCTATGGAACTTCCTTTTAGTTAGATATGTTGTATGGATTGGATAATTAGAAATAGGAAAGAGGCAACATTGGCTGCGTACAATGTACAAACGTAGTGACTGATTTAACACACTTAAGCCTTTGGAAATTCATATCTTAGGTATATCCTTCATTTGGATTTGTGTTGATCTGAAGTTGTGGGCACCTATAGCAGTTGTTAAGTAGTGACGACATTCATGAAAAACCGTAAAAAGAACTACTATGTAGCTAGACTTTCTTGGAGTATATGAAGAAAATTCAAATTCAATTGAGTGATTTGAACTTCTTTTTTTTTAAAATAAATTTTCCGATCTCTTTTCATAGTTTCCATATTGATTTCTTGCAACTTAAAAATGGTATAACATTTTTCTCCAGATTAAAACTTGCGTATTTCAGTAATTTCTTTATATGATGTGCTAATCTACTCTATTTGCTGTTCCAGAGTCCAGGACCTGATGCACGCATTGTATATATAGATGGTGCTTTTGATCTCTTTCATGCTGGACATGTGGAGGTATTGTTTGCATACTCTATTACATAATTGCTTAATAGTCCACTGTATATCCTATAGCATTTTGGTTTTGCTCGATCATTACCTAAAAATAGCTTTTTGGTAGTTCAAAAGCTCCTTCGTTGAGATGTTTATAGAGTACGCAAACTAAGCTAATCCAAACAAGATCCAGTTATTGCTGGCTGTAACATGTATAGCTATGTGATGTAGAGCCCTTTAGTTTCAAATTGTTTTATGGAAGAGAAAAAAACACAAAAAAATCATATGAAATTTTCCTTGTTTAAATGGATGTGTAGCTGGATATTCTGCCTTTTATTAACGAATCTTCATTTTATATAGATCTTGAGGCTTGCCCGGGCTCGTGGAGATTTTCTACTTGTTGGAATACACACGGATCAGACAGTCAGGTTGCATACACCTTTACATCTACGCCTTTTCATACCTTCTTTTTTTAAATATAATATTTTGAAAAATAATCAGCGTTACCGTAAGTGAAAAACAGCTAGCAAAAAATATATTTTAGGTATGTATATTTGACTTGACTAAGCCTGACAAAACCGATTTGTAAGATGAGGGTGTCACTTTCTATAAACTCATTTTATACATTATCTCTATTCAATGTCGTACTTTGGTTTGTCTCAATACATATCCCCTCCATGCCCCACACTGTTGAGCTTGGTGCTTGGATATAAAAGTGGGTGATCTGATTGATGGATAAACTCTGATACCATATTAGTAGTTGTAAACTATGTTGGGAATTCCATCTTCATTGTGGTCTGCCCCTAGCCCCCTAATTGCAGCATTTGGGTTGCCTTCCTTCGTTGCAGTCTCCAACACTTTCATTGTGTTGGGTGTGAAGGGTTGGATTTAGTCTCACATTGCTTATTGATACGAGACATGTAGTGTTTATAAATCTTGGGCAGCCACACCTTACAAGCTGGTTTTGTTGTCAGGTTAGAGTTAGACCAACTCTAATTCTAAGAAACAACAGAAAATTTGAGAGAAATGAATGTCATGCATCTGAAGTTCTTACTATTCAATTGCTGTAACCATTACAGTTGGATAGTATGTGTTGGGTGTATCGTAAGCTATCATGAGCTGAAGTAAACCTACTTCCTTAATAATCTGTAATGGAATTTGGGCTGGAAGGTGTTATGCAAATGCCAGATGTAGATGGCTATGTTAAAAAATAAAAAAAATATACTACATATATTAATACAATAGTAACATAATTGAACCATTTTTAACTTATCAAACTTCTTTGAATTATTACCCTCAAGAATTGTTTTTTGTCCTAACTCAACCTTAAAAAATTAACTTTGTTGAGTTGAGTTAGGCTCAATCCACATATTCTGATATGGTATAGAGTCTGGTTTAAGATTCGTCTGGCCACCTGCTATCAGGTTTCCGCTATCGGGTCATCCACTATTTATTTCCAGGCTTCAGATGCTCAGTTATGGGCGTGAGGGAGTGTGTTAAGAGTCTCACATCGGATAATATATAGCCTGAATGCGTTTATAAATGGGAGCAATCTTCACTCTACAAACCGGTTTTGTAAGGTTGAGTTAGGCCCAACCCACATACTTTTATATGGTATAGTTTTAACATGGTTTTCGAACTTGGTTTGATCCTCCTTTAATCCTCTCTCCATTGTTCTACGATGGAGTTCCCTACGGTTGGGAATATATTATTCTTATTTGTTTTAGTTTTACTTTTTAGAGATGAACATATCTTCTGTTTTATTGGCTTATTGCATTTGTATGGGCATTAGGGGAGGCTCCATGATTGCTGGGCTTGCATCATTGGTAAAGCAAAACTATGCGTTACATTAGTGGCAACACTTCTGCTTTTAATTCAAAGTTCAAAATTTAGTATAATTTGAACGTATATGATCTGTAAGTGTTAATTAATGTTTATATAATGCACATTGTGACAATGTTTGAATTTCTTTTGGTTTTGCAGTGCAACTCGGGGATTGCATCGTCCCATCATGAGTCTTCATGAAAGAAGTCTAAGTGTGTTAGCATGTCGCTATGTGGATGAGGTTATAATTGGTGCACCGTGGGAGGTGTCCAAGGATATGGTTAGTCTAATTTTTGCTTGTTTATTTCTTCTTCTTTGATATGATGATTCTTTTCTCTTGTTATGAACACGTTTGAGCTGTTCGACTTTTTATTATTTTCAAGAGAATTTGATTGTTGTAATTTTGACACGTTCAAATTCTTTGAATGCAGATCACGACATTTAACATCTCAGTAGTTGCTCATGGAACATGTGCCGAAAATACTGATTTTCAGAAGGTAAATTGTAGATTTTTTTTCTGATTCAATGATGTATTTATCATTTATACTTTTCATTAATATAAGAGGGTTTTAAGTTGCTTCTGCATTTACAGCTTTTGCTTCCTTACTAGTTATTGACATTGGTTTTCATACAGGAACAATCAAATCCATATGCGGTTCCCATTAGCCTTGGCATATTCCAAGTTTTAGATAGTCCTTTAGATATAACAACTACTACAATAATTAGGAGGATTGTATCAAATCATGAGGCATACCAGGTATATTCAGACCTTGTCGTTTTTATCTGGTTAATTCGTAATGTTGGATTCTCGAGCTTATCATTTTCTCATTGTCACTTTAAGGACGTTAGCATATTTTTTTATCACAATCATTTACTTGTGTGTCAAAACAACATATATTTTCAATCAAAGTTCTATATAGCGTTTTATTGTAGTACTTCTTTTCTTGAATTGAAACATTTTAGAAGTACTTTGTGTGAGATTTGGCATCAAGATGTTGGAGTGGTACTTGTTGAGTCATTACTGAGAAAAGTGATCAAATAGGATTGAAAGGAGTAGTGAAGGAAGACTGCAGCAGTTGATCTGTGTAGTAGAAATCATTAAAAATAAATTAATCTAAATGGTTTTGATGAAAATTTAGCTTTTGATAGAGCTCAATAACATCAATATCCATGTACATAAACCCATCAAGTGGGATAAGGCCCGAGTCGTCTTCATTTTGAGATGATGTCTGCTCTTCACAAATGTGTTAGTACAGTTTAGTTAGTTATGCTTAGTCAACTTGCTTCAGCTGGGGCAGTTATCTGATTTGCACTAACGTTCAACCTTAAGTCTCTACTTTTTTTCTTTAATTTTGGATGTATTGACATCACACATTCAAGATCTAGCATTTTGAGATGTATGCTTTTTCATATGATATAGTCCTATTCGGAGAGTCGAAGGAAGATTTAAATAAGATGTTGGAGACATGGAGACCGGCCTTAGAAATGCATGGCTTTCGGCTAATTAGAAGTTAGACGGAATATATGGAATGGAAGTTTAGCAAAAAGAGAATAAAGAGAAGTGTTTCTAACCTAGAGGTGAAAGTTGGAGATCATATCATTCCATAAATCACACTGTTTAAATATCTTGGATTCGTAGTACAAAATGATGGAGAAATAGAAGAGGATGTAAACCATTGAATTCAAGTTGGGTGACAAAAATGGTAGAGAGCCTCATGGGTTTTTATGTGACAAAAATACTACTTAAGAGAAAATTTTATTGGATAAAATGTTGGGGGGTTAAGAATCAACACGAGAATAAAGTAAGTGTAGTATAGATGAGGAGGATGTTGTATTGGATACGTGGTAAGTCTAGACGGGATAAGATTAGAAATATCAATATTAGAGAGTGTTGGGAGGTAGCATCTATATTAGAAAATATGGTAAAAAATAGATTTAGGTGGTTTGGGCATGTAAAGAGAAGACCTATAGATTTCTATTATAAAGAGAGTAGATCACATGGAGAGAAATCAAACGATTAAAAGTAGACGAAGACCTAAAAAAACTATAAGAGAAACTATTAAAAGAGATCCCGAGATTAACGAATTGGTACGTGATATTGGATAGAATATTATGGTGAATTTGATCTATGTAGCCGACCCCACACATTTAATTGTTGTATTTAAATATTTTATTTTTCTAATATTAATGCCTAAAATCACTAAGGCACCACTTTTTGGCACCTTTCCATTCACATTGAACATGAACCAACTGTACTAAAAAGAAAATGGGACTGAACAAGACGATGAAGATGTGAGTTTTGTTATTGCATGTTTCTAGTTCTGTAAAAATTGCTTCTTTCGAAAAGATCATGTGAAGTGTTAACTAGTGCTTTGTAGTTAGTATATCACTTTCATCTATGAAGTTTCGTATTAAATAGAAGATGGTGAGTTAGTATATCACTTTCACAACTACTATATCTAATAGTTTTCATTAAAGATTAGTATTTGTACAGAAACAGAATGAAAAAAGTTGCTATTTTTTGTAATTAAAAAAAATTAGAAAACAAATATCAAAACCATTTTCTCCAACCAAAAATGACTTATTTGCAAGATCTTAGGCTCATTACTCTCATTAGGCTGCACCTCCTTTGCACACCATGTGCACGAACCTTGGAAATATGTCTAGAATTTCTCATTTTCATCATGAACATGTGTGTGTCTGAAACTCTGTCTCTTAGTTATTGTCTTTCTTACTTTTTACTCTTTGTTTGCATGCAGAAACGCAATGAGAAGAAGGGTGAGAGTGAGAAAAAATACTATGAGAGCAAGACTCACGTGTCTGGAGACTGATTCATGTCTGTCATATGGAGACATAAACATTGGGGGGTCACCACCAGGATTTCACACACTCCCCATTTATCTATCTTATCTCTTTTTGTTTGTTTTTTGTTTTTGTTTTTGGAGAACATGACAGTTTTGTTCAGCCATGAGCACGAGTGCGGCTTCGTGGTTCGCGCCTCTGATTTATTATTTATTATACTGATTTTAACCATATGAATATGTAAGTGTTTGTCTCATGAAATTTGTGGTTAGCTAAGTTGTTTTTAGTTAGTTTGAGGAATGGTTAGCCATCATATGAATGTGCGATGGTGTGATGATAAATTTTATAGCGATTTACTTTAATAGGTTGTCATCAACACTTCAAAATTATCTGACCAACTCACTTATCCTATTCAAAAATAAATTTATTTTCAGTTTTTAGTGATTGGTTTATGTAGTTGAATTTGGATTGATTTTTTGGATATTTAAATTATAAATTATATTTTAAATTAATATTAGAAAAATATTAATAAATTACAAGTTTTATATAATATTTAATATTGTTACACGAGAATAATCGATTATGATTGAAATAAATAAAAGAATAAAAATAAATATTATAAATGATATTAAAAAATAAATATTATTGAATGATAAATTAATATAATATATTATTATTAATAAAAAATAAATAAGTATAATAAAATCTGATATGAATAAAGTGGTTTTCACAAATGGACGTCTAAATATATTTAATAATATCTGTGTTTTTCTTTTTGTAGTTGTTTTTAGATTGATTTACTGTTTCTATTTGAATGGATTTAGATTTCAACACTTCATTAGAAAGAGGGAGACATTGATCTGATTGGTATCTATCTATTGAAACTTAGGAAAAAAGAAAATAATAGTACTAGTGAGAAAGAATATGAATGTTTCAGAATTGAACTAATTTTCGTTTGTCTTTGTTGAAAGGAAATCGCATCTATCAGGTCATTCACTCATCCATGAAACATGGATAATAATGAGGTTTTACTTTAAACATTGACGGTTGTTAATTTTTCAGTGGAATAATAATGTTAAGAACCCACTTTTTAAGAAACGAGTTAAAAAAACAGTATTTCTATTATTATTAAAACTAATATGGGTCTCATCATTAATAAAAAAAATAGTGTTAAAAAGTGTGTGGCTGGTATTTTTCTTATTTTGTGATTAACAGAGTATCAACTTCGCCAATTGGTCCACCATAAACTAATTATTAAAGTGAACCACTGTACACCATTTATTGAAGTTGTTAATAATAGAATCTGCCACTGTTAGTTGAAGTATATTAGTTAAACGACGAAATCGATTTAAGATTGTATTAGTATTCAATTTCTAACTCTATTAATCACGAGCATTAAAACTGCTACAAACCGTTATCACTTTGTTCTGGACCACATTATATGAAGTTGATATTCAATGTTTTATTATTATTATTTTGTTTTCTTCAGTTCACTTCTTTCATCATAACATTTGTTCAATTGATATTTATTTTAAAATAAACATGTACAAGGCTTAAAAATGATCCTTCCATTTTTGAAAAACCAAAAGATCACTTGAAAAATGAAACAGAGTTCACTCAATCTAAATGGAATGAGATTGTTAAAACATGACAAGACTCTCTTGCACACCCAGTTTACCTAACAATCAAAAAAACCAATAGACTTGCAGGCTCACGTAACCTCTGTTGCGAAGAACCATGAATATTTGTTCTGATGCCACCATGATTACAACTACAAAGAAATTTCGGCAAACAATAACTCCCATAAAAATGAACAGAATATCAAACAATGATACAAAAATCATCCACCAGGGCTTCTTGTCACCATAATATATCATTTACAAAGCAACAAATACAAGGGTGAACCCACATTTTTAACAGCAAATACTATTACTTGACAAGTAGCACACCAGACAGATTTGTAGCATGAAATTATCATCTGACCCGTAAAGCTGCAGCAGGACCTGGTGAGCAATTTGGGTTTGGAGACCGACAAGTAGCACCTGGGCCAACATTATTTGAAAACTTGTGACGCATTCGGTAATCGGAGATTTTGTTCATGGCAAAAGGACCGCCACTCCCACTATTTGATCCTGATAATGAGACTTCGTCTGCACCAACAGTAGAACTTTGTAAGGGTTCCAATGTCTCGACTACATCACTCATTAGTGGCCTTGCTTTGGGATTTTGACTCAAGCAGTAGTAAGCCAGGCTACATGCTTTCTGTGCTGCTCTCACTGAATACTGATTCTCCAATCTAGGATCAATTATTTGTAGGAGCTTTCTCTTGTCATTGAGCTTTGGGCGTGCCCAATCTACCAAGCTTTGTTCCTTCCCAGGTCTGGTCTTGTCAACGGACTTCCTTCCTGTTAAAAGCTCCAAAAGAACAACCCCAAAGCTATATACATCACTCCTAGCTGTTAGGTGGCCTGACCAATTTCACATATGCCAAGTTTAGATGTGCATCCATTCATGCTCAAACATATGCACCATGACAAAAGCACATGCACCATAAAGGCCCATGTTATTTGACATGCTAGTAAGCAAACATAACTGATTTGTGCTGTGAACTACTCACTCTGGAACGAAATATAGGCAAAAAAGGACATCTGAAAAATTGATGTATGTGGTCTTAATTTTTAACTAGATATGTCAACTTTTCACAAACCACTTTTACTTATATTTCTTTCCACAAGGACTTTTATTACAAAACATACACAAGGACACAGAACAGGAAAATTATTTGCAAATGAAATTTAAAAAGAAAGCATATATTGTTTTAAGAATTCTTTCATCATGTCAGCAAAAAAAGAATTCAAGACTAAAGGCCAGAAACAAAAATGGGATTGATCTGGAAAGAGATAAAAACCTTGATACCAGAAATACAATCAATTGTATTATGATCTATGTACTGTCAGCATGCCACATAATATTTAAATTAATTCATTATTAATTATCAAAGATGTATTAGCCTCAATCTCAAATTACAGCATATGATGAATAAGATCAACTTTATGGTGTCAAAATTTTCAAGCAACTTTTCCCATTTCTTTACTAATGAGCATGTTGGAGCATTGAGGTCATACCAGTCATTACATATTCAGGGGCAGCATAACCATATGTACCCATGACTCGGGTGGATACATGGGTTTCATCACCTTGGGGCCCTGCTTTAGCTAACCCAAAATCAGAAAGCTTGGCTGTATAGTCCTGTAGAGTCAAAGGCAACACAAAATGAATAAATTAAGATAACATATCCTTTATTAAACAGCCACAAACTTAAAAAATACCAGCCACTTACAGAGTCCAATAGTATATTAGACGTCTTGAAGTCACGATAGATTACAGGCCTTTCAGCATTGTGAAGAAAGGCAAGCCCTTTGGCAGCACCAAGAGCAATCATCATTCTTGTAGCCCATGTTAAAGGAACAGTTGCCTCTGGAAACCTCAGGAAAATTCATATCAATGAGTTGAAATTTGAAAAAACACAGCAAGAAACTAGAAAAACTCAGTTTCATAACTAGTACAACAACAATAATCATCTATAGAAAAGAAAGAAATCACACAAATTTCAACAATTTAATTAAAGATTTCAGAAGCATTCTTGTTATTCAAAGCATGTTTGACCAACACAGGACATGTGCAACCAAAAGCCAACTTACGAGAGAAATTCTTATTCCCTCTCATGAGATATTTCCTTAAAATTTAACATGAAGAGCTAAAACACCCGTGAAACGACACCATATACAATACATTTCAATTGAATTGGTCATACACAGTACTCTCATCCAAAGTCAAACAACTTAGAAGCAGAGTTGTCAATCGCGGATTCTAGAAAACAGTACTTGTTCAAACTCTGCTATGCTGCAGTGCTATAGCCATTATTTAACAATACTTAATACACAATTGTGTACAGCACAACCAAAGTGGTTCATTAAAATTCCATTTCGTTATAGCCGCTATTTGACAACACTGGTAAGAAATCCTCCTCACTCAGATCCAAAATCATTCCTTCAATTCCTAACAAAATCTAAGAAGTTATCAAAGGAAACAAAAGAAAATCAAGCATACTTCGGAATAGATGATTTTCAAGACTTCCTCGAAACATGAATTCATAAACAAGCAGCCTATGATCATCCTCACAGCAGTAACCAATCAACTTCACAAGATTAGGATGCCTAAGCTGTCCAAGAAAATTCACCTCCGTCTACACCAAACAAAACAAAAATCAACAAAAATGCACAAATTCACAACAACAAAATAAAAAGCTAAAATCACCAAAACAAAATTAGAAACTCACAAGCCACTCTCGATGTCCTTGAAGTCCTTCTTTATTCAACACTTTAACAGCAACCGGAAGAGATTTAAGTCCAACCCTAACATTCTCATCAATGTAGCCTTTATAAACAGTACCAAACCCTCCTTCCCCCAAAATATAATCAGCACGAAAGCTTTTCGTTATGGTTTCAAGCTCGTAGAGAGTGAAAGCTATAACATGAGTGTAAAGAAGCGTATTATTATTGTTAGCGTTGTTCCAGCGAGGCGTCGAACAAGACTCGCTCAGATCCGAAGCGGAATCGGTTAGATGATGTCTGAGACTAGAGTTTTTCCGTTCAATAGCGCCGCCGGCGCCGGTGGTTTGGTTTCTAGCTCCGGCAGCAGGATGCAGCTGCTGAACTGTAACAGAAAATAATGTGAGTTAGTTACGAGTTAGTTACGAGTGAGATGAAATTCAATTTAATTTGAATTTGAAAAAATTGATGATGGTGAAGGAAAAGAGTAGATCTGAATGAAAGTGAAAGTGAAAATGAACCTTGAGCATTGGAAATAACGGCGGATTCTTCTCTGGTACCACAGTTGCCCATTCATTCAAGAGGAGGATGAAACGACGTAGTTGGAGGAGAAAATGTTGCAGAGAGGATTTTGTTTTTGTTCTTGTTGTTGGTATCCACGAGGATCACAGATTTTCATTCTTTCTTCTGTTCTTCACCCTTTTCTCCTTTCTTTTCCGTAATTCTTTTCAGATGAGCTGACTCACTCTTTATTAATATCTTTTTTTTTTTTTAATTATTATTATTTTACTTTACTAGATTCATAAATACAAGACATTTTCTTGTCATCTTTTTTTTAAACACTTCTTCAAATATTTAATTGTATTAAACTTTTTCATGATACTTTCACTCCATATTATGGAACATAAATCGAAAACAGTTAATATTGTTATGGAAAATATAAGTTGATCATAAGATTCTAATATCAATTATTAAGAAATTCAATTGTTAGTTTTTTTATATTTGTGATTTGATTTATGCAATTGAATATTTAAAGACAAATAATTATGTTTATTGTCACTATTATAAATAAAAATTGATGCTTTATACGGTAATTAAGAAATATAATTAACTATAATTCATTTTTAGTTTTTTTATAAAATATAGAACAAATATATTAATTTTTTAATATTTAGTTAAAAAAAACTCAGTTTGTTAATAATATCAAATATTTTTATACATAAGTTTTGTCATTATTTGAATTTTTTATTCAAATAATTATGTTTTTCAAAATAATTTCTCTTTCTTTATTAGTTCTCAGATTTCAAACAAAAAAAATTCTAACATAGAGCACAATTGATTGCATTAAAAAAAGAATTTAATTGGTATGTATTAATTTTACAGTGTCAATCAATCGTCTTCATGTATCTCGCCACATCATACTATAAATTTTATATTAATTGTATTGCATGGCAGATTAATATATTCCTATTGGATGACACTGTAATATTATTTTACACTGTCAGTGCATACCAATTAAACTCTTAAAAAAATAGAAGATTGTACATGGTGTAGCCAATGCAATTGGCGATTATGTTTAAAGGTTAAGATGAGATGCCAATTCATCTGATGCATATGTATAAAACCTAAGTGGAGGCGTCAATTGAGATAACTCCTATATGTTGGATGTTTTTATTAGTATAAATAGAGGTTCTTTCTACCATTTATTTCACATCTCTTCTTATTTTTCTCTTAATCTTTTCTTCACTAACTCTATCATGATTGTCAAAAGAAATTGGCATGTATGTTTTTCGAGAACTAAGCCTCTAATGAAGATGCGTTTTTGAAACATCCGTAGTTTCGAGCAACTTGAGAGGAACTGGAAGTGTTAGTTAGACTGAGAGATTAATGATTGTGAAAGAATAAGAAGTATCAAGAGACTTGTTTCATACATCTCTATTGCGGATGAAAATAATGATATACTATGTGGGTGTGAGTTAAAGATGATAATGATATTAGAGATATGATGTTTGCACCAGATGATATTGTTTTGATTGTTGTAATCTCTTAGACATGTTGTGGTCTTAAGTCTTTTTATTTGTTGTTTGTGTTGTTGTTTTAGGCGTGTTTATGTTCACGTGCTGTTGTTTTAGAGGTGTTTACGTTAATTCTGTTGTAACCAAACGTTGATATATATGACGCTCATTGTGGTCCATTTTCTCCTCCACACAAAATGTATCTATGACGCTCAAAGCATGTAACAATATGTGTGCTAGCTTTGATAATTTCATCCTTCATCACTTTCACGTAGCTTTTACTGAACAATTGCCCCACCTGTAACACCGAACTCCATTTTTCGTCACTAATTGCAAATAATAGTCTCAACCTAAAATAGGTTGCTTTCACCAAAGCGGTTATTGATATGTTTATAATGTATTTGAAGACAAAGTTCATTAATTCCACAAGGTTTGATGTTATGTGGCTCCATCATCGACCCTCGCGAAATGTCTTAGTACACTTTTCCACCGGAATATTATCGACTCACCTTAATGCATCCGCATTCGACAATCTAATTTCCTCGCAGTAATGTTTTAATGATGGTTGATTTAAAGCATATCATGTGTTCATATCTTTTTTCCTAGGGTTCTTATCTTTGATTTCCTGCATGAAGTTTTGTGCAATATGTCTAATGCAGTAGACATGGGCAGGGGGAGGATTTTGCCATCCGTTATCAAGATTATTGTATGTACTATCAATAGATGCATGTCTATCTGAAATCAAATAGAGGTTGTATTGTGGAGCAACATGTGTTTTGAGATTCTTGAGAAAGAAACTCAAACCATCAACAGTCTCACCTACAACTAAAGTAAAAGCAATGGGAAAGATATTATTGTTGTCGTTTTGTGCCACTGACATAAGTAATGTTCCCTTGTATTCCTTGTACAACCATGTTCCATAAATTAGAATAATAGGTTTGTAGAACGCAAAACCTTTGATGCATGGTTGAAACGCTCAAAAGAATCGATGTAATATTCTATTTCAACTAACACAAGTTCTATTAGATGTATATGCCAAAAATGTATCAATAATTGCAACAGTTCCCGAAGCATATGTCTTAAGTGCCACCAAATATTTTGGAAGTTCTTTGAATTTATATTTTCGTGTATGAGGGAGTATAATTGTAATGTGTAACATAATGAGGGATTATTATACTTACCTTCACTAGCGGATCCTTATTAACAAGAGGTAAAAATGTCTTGACATATTATATCAAAGCTTAGTTTAAGGTGATCTTGTGCAAGATTAGTGGTGAGGCAGTTGTGAGGTGGATCCATAGAGCTTATCTCCCATGAATCACTTATCTTCTTATAAGACGCTGCCAGCCGAAACATGCAAAGCTTATTACGACAAATAATGGCATACCTTCATGCATCAGTGTGATCTACGGTATAATCAGTAGAGTTTTCCATGTAAAACAATTTTATACCCCGCGCACAATCTTATTTTGTGTGAAACCTGACTCACAATTTTAACTCACCCTCTGACTGCATATACGGTTTGTAAAATATATCAAAGAATGACTCATTGTCATTCAAATCCAAGTTTGTCATATGTTGAAGCGAATAATATACATGAATTAGGGGTAATGTCCTTTGATCGTCATCTTTAGTGTTGTTATTCAACATATAATTGACCTATGTCTCACATTCTTCTTCTTCATCGTCAACAATGTCAACTTCTGCTTCAAATTCTGCTTGATCAAATATCTGAGATTATTGACACTAATGAGTTTGTTAGAGTCAAATATACAACTTAATATAGTTGAATCCGAAATGTTCGTGACTAACAAACATATTTTCAACATCTTCATCATCTCAAAACTTTAGTTAATAAAATTTGGCATGATTATTTTCAAAAAATAAGGGATTTTGATATATAATTTGTGATACAACACCTTACATTAACTTTGATTACATTCTATTTTTCAAATGTAAGAAATTTGAATTTCTATTGATCGCAAACTAGATAATATCGGTATTTTGAAAACCAAACTCTGATACATCAAACACATATGTTTCTCTAATGCAGTGAGCATTAACAACGTATTTGGGTGCAGAAGACATAACTTGAGCATTTTTGGTTTGAGATTGACCTGGAATTGGTTTGGAATAGGTTTAGGAATTGGTTTAGATTGATCTAAAATTGGCTGGGAGATCTTTATTTCATACACTACTAGGAGGAAATTAGATTGTCAAATGTGAATGCATTAAGGTGGGTCGATAATATTTTTGTGGAGAAATGAACTAGGGCATTTATGAGGGTCGGCGATGGGGCCACCTGACAACAAACCTTTGGAATAAATTAACTTTGTCTTCAAAGGCATTAGAAACCTACCAATAACCATATTGGTGAGATCAACCTATTTTAGGTTGGAATCACTATTTGCAATTCCAGATCATTGTTCGTAATTCTTCTCTATTAAAGATCTCCCAAGCCAATTCCAGATCAGTCTAAACCAATTACGAAGCATTGGTTACTTTGGGAATTAATAGGGAAACTTGGTTATTAGGATATTTATTTTGAAAAACATGGTTATTTGAATTAAAAAATTTCATTATTTAGTATAATATGAAATAAATGATTAAATGCAGTAAATGATTTTTTTTAAAATGTAGTAAATAAATTTCATAGATTTCATATAAGGTTAATACCTAATTTTTCCTGTCAATTGGACCATCTTTGAAAAAAACTCTTGTAAAAAAAAGTTTGGATTCTCTCCCTCACTTTTAAAGTTTCCACTGTTTTGCCCACTCATTAAACCCAGTCATAAAAAAAGATGATATGGATGTGACCTTTTTCCATTTCCATTTAAATTTAATCCACATGGATATTTTACTAATGTAAATGAACAACTTACCCCCAAAGTACCTAATTTATCCTATTTATTTCTTAACCCAATTAAATTGAAAAAGCCTAATATCATATAACACATTCCTCCTTTCTTCACCGATTTTTTCTGCTCCGTCGTTCTTCTACATTGTTTTCGTCTTCTCTTTCCTTCTTTTTCATAGTTGTCTTTTGTTTTACTGTAATTCTACATCAAATTCCAACCATCCTCCCTAATGCATATGGGATTGGTCTGTTTTAAATGGAAGAGAGAGCAATTTTTTTAAAAATGAAAGCTATAAGGTTATAGTTGAGTGTAGGGGTAAATGTTATTTTCTAGCATTGTGTAGTAAAGTGGGTGACTGACACACCTACCAAATAAAGACATGGGTGGAGACACACACATGTGCTAGGGTTTTAAATAATAAATCTGCCAATGCCAAGTGGGTATCCAAGCTAGTGGTGGAAAAAGGAAGTCAATGGATAAGGTTAAAGTGTTTGAGATAATGTCTGAGCTAAGGATAAAGTACTTAATTACTAAACAAGTTAATACCAAACCAAGCTCTCCAAGTAAGGTGAAAACACAAGTAGAAGTTGAGAAGAACAAACAAGCTGAGAAGAAAAACAAGTTTAAAAAAAGAACCAAGTTCAGAAGAATAAACAAGTTGAGAAGATAAAACTCAACCACCTAAGAGGAGTAGTGATAG